AACGAAATTTGGTATGTAGGTTTCCCTTAATCCAAGGTAGGTTGGTATTGAAAATGGGCGAAATCGGACTTTAACCACGCCCACTTCCCATATAACGGTAATTTCCAGAAATACGAAAACTGCGATATTTTAGTAACTACTGAAGATAATTCACTCAAAATTGATATTTACAATAATTTTTAGACGAAAAATAAGAATATTATAAATTTTTGGAATATGGGCGTAGCCACGCCCACTTATGGTTACATGTGTATATCTTGGTAACCGCTGCATCACTTTCTTCCAAACTTGGCACAGTTGTTGGCCTTGGTACAGCATAAAAAACCGCCGAAACTTTTTAAAATCGGACAATAACCACGCCCACATCCCATATAACGGTAATTTAGAGAAATACAAAATCTTCGATAAATAATTAAATATTGAAGCTAATTTATTCAAAATTGATGCTTGCAACAATTCTTTACCAAGAAATACGTTTATGGTAAAATTTTGGAAAATGGGCGTGGCACCGCCCACTTATGATCACATATAAGTATATCGGTAACCGTTCTACCAATTTGTACCAAACTCGGTATGGTTATTGTACTTGCCACGTGTAAGCAAAACGTTGAAAATTATTGAAATCGGACTAAAATAACGGCCGATTCTCATATAACGGTATAATTTAAGAAATGCTTTAAACTTCAATATTTCGAAATTGAAGGACGCTAATTTACCCAAAATTGATACACCTCGGCTTACCAACTAGCGGAAGGTTTCGGAAGGGTGAAAAAACATATATTTAATACTTGCGCCGGGTATTTAATGTTCGGCTCCGCCCGAACTTAGACTTTCTTACTTGTTTGATTTCAAAATAACAAAGGGCTATAATTTTTTTCAATATAGAACAGTCGTCGGGCGTGAGAGCATTCTAAGTCCAAAAATTCATTCGAAATACGGCCCGTCAAAAATCATCGAAAAAAATTTAGATTTTTTTTGCTCCATTAATTTTTTTTTGTATTATCTGCCTACATTGAAAGGTAAAGGCAAGGCAATATTTTCGCTCTTTCCTATCGAACCTAGATGAATTTCCTTGGACCACCACTAAAAACTTGTGAACCCCCATTCTTTTTCACGCCAACGTAGACCCTTGTCGATTCTACCGTGGACCCCGGGAGTCCACCGGCACCACTTTGTGAATTACCGGTTCAGAGTAAAGCACAACTCCATACGAGTGAGAAATATGCGATGTTAGTTAATTAAAAAATTTCGAAATATTTTGACCTTAATGAATTTGCAGTGCCTCTTTTGGACTTAGCGAATTTGCCTTTTATTGAAAATAAAGAAATAAGACCAGTATCTTAATCCTTTTGGATACGTTGCATTTTTAATTTTTCTTGCTTCCTTTAACAAAATTTGAGTTTTTAACAGGCCATAATTCTGTTGCTATTTTAAAAGTCCAGCATGCAATCGAATCGCGTGCTGGCTGGTTTTCTGTTTTAATTATTTCAAAAGAGTATCCCAGTGCCAGCGCTTCTGGTTCATTGAAACAGCCTCCACCCTTCGAAAATTCGATTGCTTTCTCATTGTCTTCTTTGTTGTTACGACCGGGAGCGCAGAAAAGAGAGATTATCATTGAATGAGGGACTGAGTGTAACTCCACTTTGCATTTCTTGATCAGTTTAAATCTGGGCACCTGAGTTGCTATGGCTAACAAAGCAGACTGGCTGCAGGGTAAATTACGACAACACTACCTAAGATTTTAAAAGCAAGATATCTTTTTTCCACCATATAGAGAGACAGGGATCGGGTTTTTAGAGTAGGCTCCCGCGACTTACATCTTGGGATCGTCAGTATAGAAAGATATAGTCACTTTATTGGCCACTGAGCCGCTTTTCCATTCTCTTCTGGATAGGAGTCGGCATTATACGTTCGATTTCAAATAATTTTGTTGTCTTTTCAGTAGGATATTTATTGGCTATCGGCTGAATTCTCATAGGTGCTGAATTGCTCTGTTAAGACAAACACAGCGCCTACTTTTTCATCGCCATCAGAGTACATATTTTGCTTTGGCTATAGAATTCATACACCAAAGCCCTTAAAAATCTATTACAGAAATTTGAGTTATCTTGGAATTTTTTTTTTAATTTCAGAGCAAGTTTTGTTTTATTGGTGAGAAATATTTATAACAACATACAGAAAATAATGCGAGCAATGATAGTAAAAACAAACAATGGTATTTTGCTGATTTTGTTCAACTTTCATGATCTTTGAGCCTTAATGAGTAATGAATAAATAATTGCTAATTTTATGACACCGGACTTCCTATCAACAATCACAGCAATAACAAAAAAAAAAGAAAGTCATATATCAAATACACTAGTATTACTCATTTATAATCGCTCATCGCACGTATTCCCAAAGAAATTCCCCTAGTCGCGACGTGATGAACTCTCTTGAACGGCATTGAGTTATGAGCTGTCAATAAAAAATGAAATGAAACGAATTGTTGGAGTGACCACAACCTTATGATTAAATGGCAGCTTTAGTGATGGTCAAGAAGGGCACTGAACAATGCACTCAACAAATTTTAAACTATTACGACACGCGTTCAAAGTTATAAATATAGGCATAGATATGAAATTAATTGCTGGAATATGACAGCAAATTGAGCAATGAGCATGTTTGTGTCAATGCTATCTATGAATGTAGGCGCCTACTGTACTTAATATACTCGGTCATGTACATAAATTCAAAATGCAGAAAAATAAACAAACAACCAGCGCTTCAGCAACAAAATAAGCCTAAGAGGCGACTTCCAATTGCTTTGATTTGTTTTCTTTTAGTTGATTGATTGGCTTAGCAAATGAATTCAAATTGTAAAAAAACAACACTTCACTTCATTTCAGCTATGTATGTACACTGGCGGCCATTAGAATGGACTCACCTGACTTTGAAGAGTTTTGGCTATATTTCCAGGGTTTATTTTATGTTTAATATTTTTTTTTATTAAAGCCTGGCTAGTTATACAACAAACACCATTCAAACTTTATACAAAAATTATAAAAAATTCGACAAATTTTCATCAATTTATCAAACTTTTTGTTCAGAATTTTTAGAAAAATTTCTGGTATGCAGTTTTGTAGCCCATTCAATTTTAGGACAATAAAGTGCAAGTATCAATTGGCTACAAAATATCGTTGATTTTTGACAATTTTTTTTTGTTGACGATGCTAGGCATTCTCTTCCATATAAAAAAAATTGTCGAGCACCCTTTGTATGGGAAAAAATTCATGACACCGTCAGCAAAAAAATTCCTAAAAATCAACGGTATTCTCAATAAAAAGTTTAAAAATTTGGTGAAAATTTGTCAAATTCTTATAATTTTTGTATAAAGTTTGAAAAGGGGATTTATATGGTATTTGTTGTGTAGCCCTAGCCAGGCTTTTATAAAAAAATGTTGAATAAAAAAATAAAATAAACCATGGAAAAATAGCCAAAACTCTTCAAAGTAAGGCGAGTCTATTCTAATGGCCGCCAGTGTATAAGAAAACCAAAGACTTAAGCAACAAACTTGGCAGTGCAATTAAGTTGCCAATGGTAAGAAGCTACAAGATTTACAATAACACAGCGGAACTTTTTGGATTTTGAGTTGAAAATCAAATGCAGTAACGATTTAATCTCAAAAAAACAAAAAAGCACTTGATTTGCTCAAGACTTTGCGGGGCTGTAGAGCTTCTTCGACGCCAACGTTATAGTAAGCGGTAGTAGTAGTAGCAACAGC